TGTTGAACTGAGCTGTTAAATGATTAGAGGATAAGAACTTATCAGATGTTGCTACTTTTGTTGTGTTCTTGCAGCAAATAGAGGGTTCCATTCAACTGGAGTGAAGAGGATGGGAGGAGGCCATGGTCACGGCCATGATGAGCCATACTACCTTCATGCCAAACACATGTACAACCTGGACAGGATGAAATATCAGGGGCTTAAGATGTCTCTTGGTGTCTTCACAGCCTTCAGCATTGGTGTTGTTGTTCCTGTCTACGCTGTCATTTTCCAGCAGAAAAAGACTGCATCTGCCTAAGTCATGATGATTAGCCTCTTGTTGCAAAATAATAGAAACAATTCTTGAATGCTTTCGGAGTAAACCGTTGGAATGGTTTAAGCCAATAACACTCAACAGTTTGGTTTTTTGCATTTCTGGCTGTTTTATCTTCACCATTTTTAATGGAAGTCAGGATTTTCTATTGCATTTGGTAATAATATTTGATGAACCAATCTTGATACTATTGTTTGCTCTGTCATTTGCTTGAAATTTTAAAAGTTGGTGGCTTTCCACATTTTATCCTTGCTAGAGTTGGGTTTTGAATTGTAACAACAATCTTCATGAATTGATGTTGGAATTTTTTTTTTTCGGTATTAACCTTTCGGTATCTGCTATTCGTATTGGATCTACTTAATTTGGAATCGAGTCACGTCGGATCTCATTAAGAGAAAAGATCTCTCAACGTCTATTTTTTCATTCATAAGACTTAATTCGAAGTCTTATTTAAGGGGCATTGAAGTCTTTTCACTCGGAGTAGGTCGTGGATGATTGATGTTGGAATTTAATGTAGCTTTTTCGTGGTGTGCTGCGTAATTGTCACAAGGTTCTAAATCCCTGACTCTAACCCTGACATGAAGAATTTTAGAACTGAGTTTGAAGGTGAAGTTGAAACTCCAGTCAAACAAATACAACTGGGAAAAGATGAAACAGGAAAGGACAACATTGCTTTTAGGACTTTGGTTTGGTTTGGTTTGGTTTCTGGATTTCAGTATTTACAACGTACGTATAGTTGGTCCTAATCAATACTTAATAAGAAGATTCTAGATCTGTGGGGGTTGCAATCATGTTTGATTATGGATAAGCACTAAGCACAAAGTAACAGATCAGATGATCCGGCGGCTAACTCAGGTCAAGTTTTGTAAGCCAACTCTGGTCAGCACCTTTGAACATTCTTTGCTCTTTATTTTTTTCTGCTAGTACATTTTTCTCAATTCTACATCTTATTTTTTACATAAGAAATTATTGGTTTTAATTAATGATAATTTTTTTTGTTATTTAGTTAATTAATATTTTCTCTAGTCATCTTATCCAAAAAAAAAAAAAAAAAAAATTGGTTTTAATTAATGATAATTTTTTTTGTTATTTAGTTAATTAATATTTTCTCTAGTCATCTTATCCAAAAAAAAAAAAAAAAAGATTTGGTCTAGTCATAAAAGATCAAGCAAAAATATTATGAACTGTGAGTTCAAAGTATCATAACATCCTTTCATGATTATAATTGTGTTGTCTCTCTTTTTTTCTCCTTTTTGTTTTAATTCTCTTAAATTAACAACCAATACAATATAATAACCATATAAATTAGTTAACAAATATAAAAAATCAAAATTATAAAATTAAAAACAAAATTAATACTAAACGGAGCTTTAATTTTAATTAATATTTTTACAAATTATGTTGACTACAGTGTAATTTTCAGAAAATCATTTTGATCCAAAAGAAATATATATATCCAATTGGGGAAATGCAATGAGAAGATTGGTTTTAATTATGGTGGAATTGGATGGACGAAAAAGGAAGAGAAAGACAGACCAGATAAGGCAGATTCCCAATTATTCTTTTGAGCTTGTCTTTTATTCAACAAGTGGATAACCCTTATTGCAGAACATACTAAACTAGTAGTAAAATAAAAAAATAAAAAAAAAAAGATGGATAGAACTTAGTATCAAAACATGTGGGGTATATTAGATTAGCCTAGAGAGGCCTCCAGCTTGCCTTCTTCTACACTTTCCCCCTGCTTTTTTCTATGGGAGAATATTAATAATTTCCATGACAATCATTCTGATTTGCTCATTTCATTGGCTTTATCATCTCTTTTTATTGTTTAAGATTCCTTGGAGTATTAATCAAGTTACCAATAAGTAATTCATGAATGTTCTGTCCTGTTTTTCCAATGATTTTTCTTTACTGTAAAAGTTGAAATTGGGTTAAATACATTTTTCACTCTGAAAAAAACAATGAACCAAACAAATTGGCTCATCTTTTTTTTTTTTTCATTTTCTATAGCAAATCTAACAAACAACAAGCCCCCAGGAAAAAAAGGAAAAAAAAAATATACATAAGAAAATAAATACAAATTTGAAGTTAATTTTGATTATCATTAAGAATCTGTATTAGGGTTTTTGATCATCTCCACTTTCACTGCCTTGAGTTTGGCTGTCTTGATGTTGCTGCTGCTCCAAATCCATACCTAGACCAACCCTAGAACCACCACCGTAGGTGTTTACGCCGCCACCCAGAACTGCCATGTTGGTCTCCGCCGTGACCCCTAACCCTAGTTGTTGACCTCCCATTTGTTGTTGCATTATCATTGAACCAAGTTGAACCGGACTTAACCGGCTGCCACCACCTGAGTAGTGAGCCGGGAACGTCCACATCTGGGCTTCCGGTGTTGAAGTGGGGGCACCTCCGCCTACCGGCAGCATCCAAAATGCATTGCCGCCGTTGGTGGTGGCCGGTGCAACAGCCCACATAGCAGGGGTTGGTATGGCGTTGGCCGCTGCTGTACGAACCGAACCGGGTTCTTGATGCTCTTGCATTCCGGTTCTTCCAGGCTTAGGGGAATTACTAGCGTTTACACCGCCGGTTTCGGGGGCCTGATGGGACGACTCCTTGAAAAGATCTTCTCTGAATGGTTTGGGAGAGAAATTCTCATCGGAACTTCTCATAGAACCCTCGTTCAAGATCTGAGGGTAAAGCTGATGGTGAAACCCCAACATGGCGGCGGTGCTGCTGCTGAATCTCCGATTCTGTTCATCCCCATTACTGTTATTATAAAAACCCAAAGCGCTATGAAAAGAAAGAGGAGCTGATTTCGATGCCGGAGCCGAAATTGTAGACCCGCTACTGCGGAGAGAAACGTTAAGAGTTGAGAAATTAGCCGGAATAGTGCCGGTTCCGGTAGTGGCTATGATGGCCGGCTCCGCTTGTTGCAAAAGCCACTCAATGGTTTCTCCATCAGATTTGTGACCCAATTCGCGAGTAAGCTGAAAGACCCTGGCGGCGCATAAGGCGGGCATACGGATGCGACGGCCACGGCCGTCGACCTTGGTGTGGCGGTCTTTGGTGGGTCTTTTATTAGGTTTGTTGGTGATGACAGTAGAAGAAGTGGGAGTAGTAGTAGTAGTGGGAGAATGATGAGCCCCAATTTGCTTGGAGATGGAGCCCATGAATGGGACATGAACTGGGGTCGGAGAAGAGGACCCATGTCCATGTGCGCCACCAGCAACGGCAGCTCGTGGTTGACTATCCCTATCCAAAGTAACTAATTGCAGCGAAGCTGCAGGAGCTTCCTGTTTCTGGCGGCCATGGTGGTGGCGTTCACTGATGGTATTAGTAGTTGTAGCAGTAGTAGTGGTGCTTTTATTGCTCTGAGACTCCATAGAGTCCATCTGGTGCCTCAAAAAACACACAAATTTTATCAATCTAAAACCAAACCCATCGTTGTCTTCTCCTTGGCAATTTTCTGAGGAAAAAGAGAGAGAAACATTAATTGTGGGGGGTTGGGTTGGATTTTTGGTGGTGGAGAGGGTGTAATTAACTTAACATGGGAGTGGGGGATCTTCTTTTCTTGCTTGTGATTGACTGCTGTCCTGGGAAAGAAAGAAAGAGAGAGAGAAGAGTAGGTGTGTGAGGGAGAATATGAGTAGCCCACTCGTGGGGCCTCTGTGCAATATGAGGATTTCTTCCTTTGTGATTTTGCTTTTTGCTCTTCTCAAAATTGCTCTTGCCAGACCAAAATTTTAATATTTCTTTTTTGGGAGATGAATGATAGAGTTTGTGGCTTAGCTCCCTTTTTAATAAATATTCTTTTTTGAGATGGGTATAGAATATAGATATCCTCTAGTTAAATATAATTGAAATTATATTTATTAAAAAATTATTATTATATATAAAATTAAAGATAAAAAATTTAAAAATAAAGCTATGTATTTAGTATAGAAAATTAATTAAATTAATTATATTTATATTATATTTTAAAAACTAAATCAATTAAATATTATTATATGTATTAAACAAAAAAATATTCAAATGGCTAACTACTTAAATAATTTAATAGTAATTTTTTTTCATTAAAAATAAAAAATT